TTCCCCGTGAAGTGGGTGCAGGTCAGGCGCCTGCCCCACCGGATCCTAAACCGGCACAGCCTGAAGTCAGGCAGGAGGTCTGTCCCAACGACTCCGGGCTGTTCTTACTGTATAAGCTCAGAAATTAAAAATAAAAATAGCGACGTAGGCCGTGAAGAAGTGCAAAAGCTGTCCAGGATGCTGGAACTCGCTGGGTCTGGGGAGATGACGGTGGTGGTGAGGTGAGAGCATCTCTTGGGGTTGGTGTCTCTGCCTGGGCTGGGGTCACTGGGGTGGCATCCGCTGCCCAGCCGGGTGCCCATGGCACTCCCCGGGTGTGGAGCCGTGGCAGACGTCTGCCACGCAAGGCCTTCCTCTTCCTCGTTGACCTTCCATTGAATCTGTTTTAATGGGCTCTGGTTGGGGATCTGAAAAGTAAGAGCCTAGCACTCCCCAGTTACCTGCACACCTAGATCAGTAAGAGCAGGCAGCGTGTGAGGGCCTCCTTGTGCCCCCGTCTCCTGAGGGCGGACTGCAGACTGCCAAAACCATGGGTGTTCATGTGCAAGCGGTGGCCAGGAGCTGGGCCCGAGAAGTGCCGGGGCACGTGCTACCGGGCCAGACTCTGCCAGGGCTCCCTCGAGGGGCAGCAGCGGATCAGCTGCTGGCACGAGGCCCTCCACGAGAGGCCACGGAGCTCCACGTCTCCTGGCCTGATGCTGCCGCTCGGGTGTGCTCCTCTACGAGGATAAATGCGAACGTGGGGTCCTGCGTGCCTGTGCAATCCGTCTGCGTGAGCTGTCCCTTTTGTCCCCAGAAGAAGATGATGGGGTGCTGGAAGGACTCGATGAGTTTTTTGCAGAAGAGCAAGTCGCTGTGCAGAAAAAAAAGAAATCCAAGAAGCTGAAAGATGGCAAAGCTGCCAAAATCAAGAGGAGGAAGAAGGAGGTAATGCTGCATGCTCTCACTCTGGCCTGGGGGGCTCCTCTTGGCTGTGGCGCAGAGGCAGACTGCTCGGGGTGCAGCTGGCTGCTGGCAAGCACCTCTCGGGTGTCGCTGGGCGGAAAGGGGGGGCATTACCGGGGTGTTCCTGTGCCAAGCAGGCGCTCTCCTGGCCCTGGGAGGTGACCCAGAGCCAGGGTCTGAGCAGTTCTTGTCCCGTTCTGAGGCTCTGGGGTGGAAATCTGCCCTGTGAGTGGTCTCTGGAGAGCAGCTGGGGGAGGAAATGGCAACTGTGCCTTGTAGCAGCCACGCGGCTGCCTGGCCCCTCCGGAGGGGCTTGGCTGTGGTGTATATGTTGGTGAGTGTGATGGTACCGTCCGTCCCTGTTCACTGAAGCCCTCCTGCCTGTGGTGCAGTGCAGCACCTCCTTACCATTGTGTCCAGGGGCAGGCAATCTTTCTGGCCCGTCCTGTACCGATGCCTCGTCTGGGGCTCATGTTTCTGAGGAGGGAGATGCAAAGCGCTGCATTGGGGGTGTGACCAGGGCAGGGCTTGGAGGTTTCTGTGAACGTCGGTGTCGGCTGTGCTCGTCCAGGACATTTTGCAAGCGAGACAGTGTAGGGGCTTCTAGGATTTGGCGTGTGGAAGGACCATTGGGCCTTCCGTAGGAAAGCGAAGATGAGGTGTCATGTCCTTAAGGATCAGGCCTTCCCAAGGCTGTGTTGGGGGTCTGCTCTCTCGTCAGGAAGGCTGACTGGTGCTGCCTGTGCCCTGCTGGGGTGCCTGGCTCAGATACAGTGCGGTCCCGGAGCCGGGCTGGCTGCTGTGTTGTGCCACGCAGGCTCTGCCTCTCACTCTCCCGGCCCCGAGCAGTGCTGGATGTGAGGACAGGAGCAGACATTTTGTGTGCTGGCCCTTTCGCTGACTGAATGCAAATAGGGTACTGGGAAGAAAGGGCCAACAGCAGAGGTTTCTTCAGTCCCCATCCTTCCCCAGTGATGCTGTGGCTGGGGAGAAGTCGCTCATCTAGCACAACTAGGGGCATCCCCACCCCGTCCCTTGCCAACCTGGGGCTGAAGGATGCCGATCCCCTCCGGTCATCCCCTCCTCCAGCTGTTCCCCATGGGATTTGTAAAAACAGATTGGCTGGATGAGGTAGCGCATTAAAGTGCTTTTGCTGCTGATGGGAGCATGATGCACTGTGGATTTAAAGAAAGCTGATGCCGTCCTGTGCTGCGTTGCCTGCCAGCCTTTTGCAGAAGCCGTGGCCCCAAGGAAGCTTTTTTCCATTCGTGGCCATGGTGATGCTCTTGTCTTTCTGCAGATACCAGACAAAGCTGGCTCAGGCCCTCTGCCTCCCTGTGCCTCTTCCATCGTTGGACACGTTTTTTTCCTATGCTATCTTGCTTGGGGTGGGGAGAAAATAACAGGCTGAACGTGGACTGTACTTGTTTTTGAATTAAGGCCTTGTGTGGGCAGTCTTAACCAGCCTTGGTTCTGCCTGTGGGAGACTGTTCCTTTGTCCATCAAAGCCAGGGAGAAGCTGGTGCTGTAGCTGTTGGTAGGCACCGAGCAGCACCCAGGCTGCGTTTTGGGATGAGGAGATAAAAGGCAGGGGGGCCCTGAGCGAGGCTTCCTTTTCCTGAACTCCTCCTCCAGAGTTTTGTAGGGTGAGTGGGCTTTCCCCCTGCTAGAGGAAGGTGGGAGGGAGGTGCAAGCCTGGGATGTGGGGCCAGTGCCTACGCCCTGACTGGCCGACACCCTGTAGCCCCCTGGTTTTGTCATTGGAGCGTGGGGCGGGAGGGCTGCCATGCCGCGCTTGTGTGGGAATTTGCCTGCACCAGCCGCAGTGGAACTTGCTTGGTTTGCGGTGACGCTGACGGAAGCCCTGGCGCAGGAGCCGGTGCTGCAAACCCCCGGAAAAATCTGCATAAAATAACCAGGCTGCGGTTTGAACCTCCGCGTATGGAGATGAAGGTCCTTGTCAGAGAAGGGAGCGGAGAGGGGGAATTTCAACCTGTGCTGCAGCAGTTACCATGGCAACCAATTATTCCGTGCCAAATTACAACTGTTTATAGCCCCGCTGAAGGAAAGGCTCGGTTTGTTCTGAGCCCACAAGCACCAGAACCCCACCATGGCCGCCTGCGCCCCTCGGCAGCCGCTGCCTTTGGCCGTTAACGATAAACTCCCGTTGCCGGGGCGGTGGCGCCGGGCGCTGTCCGTGGTGCTGAGCCCGGCGCCGGGCGCTGTCCGTGGTGCTGAGCCCGGCGCCGGGCGCTGTTCGTGGGGCAGCATCCCGCTGAGCCTTTGTGCTGCTCCGCACGCCGGCGTGAGGGCTCAGCCCTCCGGGTGGGACAGAGGGATGCCCTAACGCACACAAACCCTCTCAGGCTCTCTCGGCACCCGAGTGCTCCACCCGGCGTTCCTTAGGATGGCGATGTGGTTGCTGTTGGAGTTGCGCAGCGGGTTACGGTCTCTCTCCCAGAAAGAAACCTAAATTCCCCCTGACCATGCTCCACTCTAGCTATCTGCAGCTCGGTGTAGCCATCTGAGCCTGGTCCCTTCTGCGGGGAAGCAGAATGCATCTGTCAGCCATCCATCAGTTGGCTCAGCTTGCTGCTGAAGCTGTGTGTGACCAAGTCTCCGCTGGAGATGGGAGGTTTCACGTGGCTGCCTGTCTCTGAAAGCGAGGGAATTCAGCCAGGCTCACCTCGCTTGCTCTGCTCTCCTGCCCCTTTCAAGACTCTCTGTGCATCCACCAGGACTGTTTTGCTCATGTGACAGCTGAAATCCTCCTGTAGTCACGCAGTTTGGCTGCAGCACATAGTGCCAGCTGGGCAGAAAAAGAAAACAGCAACAAAGCAAAACCCTAGCGTGATACCTGTCCGGTGAGCTAAAAGATTGCATGTGACTAAAGAGATCTTCTCTTCGTTTCCTTTAGTTTCTTAGCCATTCACATGGTGATAGAAGAATGTGACTTTATTTGTGTAAAGCCATAAGCAAACACAAGGTGGAAGGAGCATCATATGTTACCTGTGTTATAGCAATTAAAAACATTGCCTAAATGTTGCCTGTCTGAAAATTTAGGATCTTTTAGCAGAGCAGTTAGCTGCCTCTTAGAGGTGTTGCTCTTTGGTTTACTACACAGCTATTTTTAATGCGCACATTTGCTTACTTGGCTTACCGTCTCCTGATTTTCTGTTTATACCGCTGCTCACCAGACTGGTTCCTGGACACTGTGGTATTGCAGCATCTGGGCACTTTCAGAGGAGCACGTTACAATATGGAGGTAGAGCAGGCATCCGTCTGTGTGGCTGTGGCTCAGCATTGCTTCTCTTGCACCCCTCGGTGAACGAGTCTTGAGGCAAAAGCGTGAAGGTTCCATTTCATATACTTTGGCCTAGACAAGCTTTTCCAAAACACAGTTTTATCTGTATTGCACGACC